CACACACACACACACACACACACACACACACACACACACACACACACACACACACACACACACACACACACACGTAGTAACAATAGTTTTTAGAAATATTATTATTATTTTTAAATATATATATTTTACATATTTAATACACTTGTGAGTATCGATGCTGCAGTGTCAATGTGCAAATCGCAATTATCGTTAACAAAAAACGAAAACCATAAAAACATTTTCATTTTCATAAAATAAATAAACATTATCTAAAATATAATATAAAACATTAAACGTCTTTTATTTCAGCTAGTCGCCAAGGAAACATTTCTAATTTTTGATTAGTCTAAAATAACTAAACTAAAAAACGATATATTCAAAAACCTATTAAAAACTTTAACTTTAACTAAAATGAAAATGAAAACATAAAAATAAAAACTGATTCAAAATATTAATAAAAACGATAATATAACTAAAATAATATTGTCTCAATATTAACATGTATAATGACTTCCATAGACTTCCATTATAAATGCAGGTTTTCCTGATGTTTTCTTGGAGGTGCTGCCTGGCTCTCACATGGATCTGAGGCTGGTGTTTTGCATGTAACTGTGAATGTGAGGTCTGTACCTGCGGGACGGTGAAGGAGCTGACACCCGGGGGCTCGTACACCGCCTGAGGAAGCTCCACTCCGTCCTTAAACCACTTCACACGCGTGTCTTTGCTCACGTTGGTGACCTGCAGCCGGAGACACACGGGTTGTCATCGTGTTTAAATGCTGATGCATTGTCATTAATGAATAAACACCATTACCTTGCACTTCATAATCATTTCACAATCTGAAGTCACTGTCCATGACAAAAACTCCTCGAAATGGGGACCTTGGAAAGCAAAAGAGAGAAACATTCAATTGAATATGGAGTTATTTTGAGTAAGTAAACAAAGGTGTATGTTTGTAGAGTAATTTACAAGAGCTTAGAACGTGGCTCAACCAATCAGAATCAAGCACTGGAACTATCCGTTATATAAATAGATTTTAACCTCAACTCTGATAAGATTATACATGTTTAGTCAGACATTAGCTATTATCTGTTGCATGAGAGCTTCTCGTACAGTAATGTTCTTTATTGTCGACTCACCCGACTTTCTCTTCCAGTTGTGTCTGTTGGCCTCAGATTTGGCCAGCGTGTCCCGAAATTCTGACAAACAGCGAAATAACAGAAGAATAAAACAGAAGAATAAAGATTAAATCTGGAGAAATAGTCAACATGACCTTTTGGCTTGTCGCTAGATAAACTGACTTCGACTTTGAGTTTTGCTGCATCATTAAATGGGACTTTTAAACTTTATAACAAAATGTAAAATGAAACGTTATAAAATAAAATATTATAAATGAAAACTACCACTAATAATACAAATAAACTGCAAAAAAAAAAGATTATATACTTCTATATCATACTGAAATAATGTTTTGATTTTATAATTCATAATTTCTAATATTATTTCTAATTTAATTTCTTATGCATCTATCTATATATAATTACAATTTTCATGCATCATAAAGATGACGCATCACTAAACGAGTGATTGAAAAATGAAAACTGACTTCATAATAAAATGCAATGTAAACTTAAACTTAAAAAAATTGAATTTATTCAGTTTTAAAGTTTTTAATTCATTTTTTTGAACGCAAAATATCACCTGCTTTGGTCATGATATCTAATAAAAGTACTTTCAAGATCTTGTTCTAAATTGTGAATTACTGCCAGTTTTATTCGGAAGATTCTTATTAGAAACTTTTTCAGAAAAACTCAATTGTTCTCAATTTTAAAATGTTTGGCGTGGGGAATAACAATTATTAAAGTTTTTAATTCATTTTTTTGAACGCAAAATATCACCTGCTTTGGTCATGATATCTAATAAAAGTACTTTCAAGATCTTGTTCTAAATTGTGAATTACTGCCAGTTTTATTCGGAAGATTCTTATTAGAAACTTTTTCAGAAAAACTGATCATAAACAAACTTGCAAATCATGTAAAATATTAATATGTTCTTAGGAAAAAGTGCAAACTAGAACTTTCTTAACTGAGAAACATCTTTATTCTTTATTTTATATAATAAAAAAATTAAATACATTTATAAAGTACAATTTATTTTTATTATTTTATTTTTAATATTATTAAGATAAATCTGGGTCTCCCAAATTAATAAATTCTAGCAAATTTAATGCTAGCCCTAAAACTCTTAAAAACTAAGGAAAAATAAAATGATCTTAAAAATAGTAAATAGCTAAAAATATTCTTTAAAAGTTTCTTAAAAAATAAAAAGGTTAAAGTCATTATAATATACATCAAATATATATATATATATATATATATATATATATATATATATATATATATATGCAACCTGTGAGGGTTTATAAAACAAGTCTCTTTCCGCTCACCAAGGCTGCATTTATTTGATAAGAAAATCAGTAATATTGTGAAATATTATTACAATTTAAAATAACTGTTTTCTATTTGAATATATTGTAAACTGTAATTTATTGCTGTGATCAAAGCTGTATTTTCAGCATCATTACTGCAGTCTTCAGTGTCACATGATCTTCAGAAATCAGTATAATATGCTGAGTTGCTCGAGAAACATTTCTGATTATTATCAATGTTGAAAACCATTGTGCGGCTGAATATTTCTGCTGCTTTCCAATATACACTATATTTGCATCATTTATTATTTATCTAATCAGATAACATTTCCCCTGAAGAGCAGCTCTGTAGTCTAATGTTATAATGTGACATTGTAAACATACTCTTATCCACAAACACCAGAGTGAACTGGTTCTTGGCCCGGCCGTCTTTGAGCTGTGCGGTGTACGAGCCCTCGTCCTCTCTTGATATCTGATCAAACAGGATCTCCACCAGACCCTGTGCCTTGTCAAAGTTAATCTTACGGGTCTGCAGGACACACACATCCACACGGCTCTTTAGACAGCATTGAGCAAGTTAAAGGAATATGCACATGCAGATGGCTTTATTATTAATGTCAAAATCTGATCAGACAGTTACCGGTGTGCTGGAGATCTCTCTGTCATTGAGGATGAGCCGAAGCACCGCGGCGCTGCTGAGAGCCTCGGTCTGCAGCCACAGACGCACACTTCCCTGCTCGGACACGTCCACCTGCCAGCCTTCAGACTTCAGAGCGATCACTGCAGAAGACATGCATAAGAGTCAAGGTCAACTTTATTTCTATAGCACTTTACACAGTGCAGATTGAGTCAGAGCAGCTTTACAGTGTTAAACAGTCATCATTGATTCAGTCATCGTCCAGCTCAATTCAATTCTCTTCAAATAGTGTCTGTGCAATCAAGCAGTCAATATTGCCAGATACGTTTATATGCATACAAAGATTTAAAGCATCTGTTTACATAAAAGTGAACATTCTGTCACTCTTTTGTATGGAAAACAAGCTCTGAAATTGTGGTTTGGTTTTTCTAAGAAGGAAAAATTCATGTTTGGAGCAACATTAAGGCAAGTAGATGACGACAGAATGTCCATTTTTGGATGAACTATCTATAGAAGCTTATTTCAGCCATGGAGGGAAAAAAAAGAAATCTTGAAATTATGAGGAAAAAATTTAGAATTGCGAGATAAAAAGTCACAGTTAACTTTTTTATTCTTTTATTCCATGGCTGGAAACAAAAATATCAGAAATCAGAACGGTGAGATATTAACTCAGAATTCTGTGAAAAATATAAATAAATCAGAATTGCAAGATGTAAACTCAGAATTCTGAGAAAAAAAAACGTATAAAGATGTAAACTCAGAATTCTGAGAAAAAAAAACGTATAAAGATTTAAACTCAGAATTCTGAGAAAAAAAAAACGTATAAAGATTTAAACTCGAAAAATTCATGTTTGGAGCAACATTAAGGCAAGTAGATGACGACAGAATGTCCATTTTTGGATGAACTATCTATAGAAGCTTATTTCAGCCATGGAGGGAAAAAAAAGAAATCTTGAAATTATGAGGAAAAAATGTAGAATTGCGAGATAAAAAGTCACAGTTAACTTTTTTATTCTTTTATTCCATGGCTGGAAACAAAAATATCAGAAATAAGAACGGTGAGATATTAACTCAGAATTCTGTGAAAAATATAAATAAATCAGAATTGCAAGATGTAAACTCAGAATTCTGAGAAAAAAAAAAAAAACGTATAAAGATTTAAACTCAGAATTGTGAGATGTAAAATATAGTAATTATAACTTGCAACTGTGAGATTTAAAATGCAGCTGTGACAAAAAAGGTCAAAATTGCCTTTTTAATTTTTTATTCTGTGGCAGAAACAAAAAACACAATTGTACACTGAGAATTCAGAGCAGAAAAGTTAGAATTGTGAGATGTAAACTCGCAATGTCCTTTTGAATTTGATTATTCTGTGGAAGAAATAAGCTATTTCTTTAAATACACTACTGTTCAAAAGTTTGGGGTCAGTAAGATTTTTTTATGAAAGAAATTAATATTTGTATTCAGTAAGGACGCATTAAATTGATCAAAAGCGACAGTAAAGACATTTATAATGTTCTAAAAGATTTCGGTTTCAAATAAATGCGGTTCTTCTGAACTTTCTGTTCATCTGTGAATCCTGAAAAATTAAATGCATCACGGTTTCCACAAAAATATTCACTGTTAACTGTTTTTAACATTGATAATAATCAAAAATGTGTCTCGAGCAGCAAATCAGCATCTTATACTGATTTCTGAAGATCATGTGACACTGAAGACTGGAGTAATGATGCTGAAAATACAGCTGCGCATCACAGAAATAAATTACATTTGAACAGATATTCACACAGAAACACTTATTATAAATTCTAATAATATTTCAAAATTTTTACTGTATTTTTGATCAAATAAATGCAGCCTTGGTGAGCAGATGCGACTTCTTTCAGAAACGTTACAAATCACAATGATTCCAAACTTTTGAACACCAGTGCATCTCAGATTCTCTGAACAGTGATGCCGTTTGTGACGTGTATTTGATTGACTTACGTGGGTTTCTGACATGCCAGCTGAGTTCTGTCAGCCTCTCCAGATCTGAGGAAGAAAACGGCACAATCACAAAGTCAAATTCAATGTCTTGCTGTCAGAATGATCCGACATCTTTGAAAACAAGATTTAAAGTTCATCTTGCTGTGTTTGAGGTTATAGGAAGATGTTTGTCATGCAGTTTATAGTATCTGACACAAACAGTCCATGTTCTGGCACACTTTGTGCAGGGTGAAAACACACAGATCATGCACAACACGGTTTAGGGCAAAGGAGCTCAGCAAAACTGAAACGTTACAAATCACAATGATTCCAAACTTTTGAACACCAGTGCATCTCAGATTCTCTGAACAGTGATGCCGTTTGTGACGTGTATTTGATTGACTTACGTGGGTTTCTGACATGCCAGCTGAGTTCTGTCAGCCTCTCCAGATCTGAGGAAGAAAACGGCACAATCACAAAGTCAAATTCAATGTCTTGCTGTCAGAATGATCTGACATCTTTGAAAACAAGATTTAAAGTTCATCTTGCTGTGTTTGAGGTTATAGGAAGATGTTTGTCATGCAGTTTATAGTATCTGACACAAACAGTCCATGTTCTGGCACACTTTGTGCAGGGTGAAAACACACAGATGCACAACACGGTTTAGGGCAAAGGAGCTCAGCAAAACATTCATCAGCGGCCGAATGATGATTCAATACCGAGGTCGTACTAAGAAAAGACGAGTTATGCATCAATTCATGCTGAGATGCACAAGGTCTCGAGCCACCGTGTTCAGGTAATGCATTATGCAGAGATAGAAATGAATGTCTACCCTCTGCAGTGAAGGTGAAACTAGAGGAGATGTCAGGGTTTCCGCTCAGCTCCACCGTGTAAAGGCCCAAATCCTGCTCCGAGGCGTCCGTGAAGGTAAGAACAGACCTGGGACGAACATTTGGATCAGGTTTATGGAGTATTTAAAAGGACAGTCACCCAAAACAAAGTCATAATTTACTCAAACCCATAACAGTGTGAATTTACTACTACTGTGGAAACAAAAAGGATAATTTTAAAGAGTCTGTACTATCCCTTTAAGAAAGTTGAAGGTGCCTATTTACCAACATAAAAAACTATATATATATAGCTTTTTTTTTAATGAACTATTTCTTTTAAGGTGCCTATTTACAATTTAAAAATAATATATAAATTATGATAATTTATTTGACCGTCATTTGATGCATTACTGCTGCCATAAGCACTACAAAAGGTAAACAAACATTGCTTTTAAATTAAGATACTTTATTATTTTTACTTGATATATACTGTTTTTATATTTATACTCAAGTTAATATTGTAATGTTAAAGCGTTGGTTTTTGATTACTTCACTGCAATGCTTCAAGGAAATAAGATATTAAAATAACTTAACATATACGGTTTTATATTTGGACTCATTAAGTTAATAGTTCAATATTGTAGCATTGGTTTTTGATTACTTCATTGCAACTCTTCATAGAAATATAATACTTAAATATTTCAATTAGCTTACTATATACTGTTTTTATATTTATACTTAAGTTTATAGTTTAATATTGTAGCATTGGTTTTTGATGACTTTATTGCAATGCTTCATGGGAATTAAAAAATATATATTTTTAATTAACTTACTGTTTCTATGTTTATATGTAAGTTAATAGTTTAATAATGTGGTATCGGTTTTGGATTATTCATTGCAATGCTTTAATTTCCTCATAAAAGAATTTAAGTTCACTGTCTTCTTTTTTTTTCCATTTTCAAGTACTTTTTTTTGCTTTAAATCCAAGTTTGCATTTTGTTAGGTTTGGTTCATAGTTTCAAACTCTTTACTGACAAACTGTTGGAAATCCCAATGGAGAAAATAAATGAGAAATATACTTCCAGATCCAACGCTGCAGAAAAAGTGTCACTGTTGTGCTCATATCGTGACTAAAGACCTGTTGTTTTTGTTCTCCAGTCGGGCTCGTCCGGCATCAGTCGATTTGCTGTAGTTCTTACTCCACTTAAAGACGTCTTTATCAGTGCTGTCAGGAGCTTCAAAGCTCAGGAAGATGAAGCCGTCGTTATCGACTCCGATCTCAATCTCTTTGGTTCCTGGTGGCAAACGTGGGATAGAGTTAAAAGCGACTCACTGTAAAATGAGCATGAAATCATTATGCAGACTTCCAGGCAGCTGACCTGCTTTAGTCTGCGCTTCCATCGGCTCTGACGCCACTGAAGACATGCCGACTCCGGCGGCGTTAACAGCAGACACACGGAGGCGGTACGTCTGACCTGCTTGCAGACCTGAAACCTGATCAGATATCATCCAAAAACAGCTCAGTCCTCTTTCAAGGCTTTGGTGGGACCAGATGCAAATGTAACTATTGTGAATTGAGTCGAGATACTTTTTAAGGCAAGAAGACACCACAGGTTTGTCCTGCACAGGACAATTTTGCTTCCTATTTTCACTTTCAAAATATGCATTTATTTTAGTGGAAAGAAAACATCCAAAATACACATTCAAGTGTTTATTTTGTATCTGTAAAATTAAATTACAATACGTATCTTTAAAGGCCGTTTCTCAAAATGAGTCAGAATTGGACACTTTACTGTAATTTTACTGTAAGTTGTAAATAAAAGATTACAGCACTTTTTTACAAGAAAATATTATTTTAGTCTTTCTACTTCAAAATTTCACTTTAATTCAATGTGTAACATTTTTGAGTGAAAATTGTTTCTACACCAAATTCTTTTCATTCTACATACACCAAACTTTACAGTTTTATTCCTGCTTATATTTTTAAGTCTGTTACAGAGGGATTTGTTCATAAATAATTTGGGACCAGATTTATATCACATTTATACAGTATATAGCATTTATATGAAGTGTTATGTAAATCTGTTCCAAAATGACATATGAACAAACCCCTCTATAAAAACCTTGAAAATATAGATCGGAATAAAACGGTAAAGTTTGGTGTAAGTGCTGCTGAACTGGAGAAAAACTTTTTTCTGGCCATTGACGGTATGAAGTGATTCCCTCTTTGAAAACCCAACATTTTGAACCTGGCTTCATCCAATGTTCAGATTTCTGTCCTGGAAATGTATGCAAATGATTTCATATTTAAATAGATAATGTCTCATTTCCATATTTAAACATGACATTTCAGAGTGAAAAACTTGTAATGCACTCTAATATACTGTGATTAATCAACTGAATAAAGTATGAAGTAACATTTTTAATCCTGTTTACCTATAGTGTCTTGCCTTAAATTTGATTGCTGATGCACAATTGTAATTTCAATTGAAATCAAGGATGTAGAATTAGACTGCAATTCAACTCAACTCACTTTCTTAAATTCTGAACTTTGCAATCAGAAGAGAAACTAAAGGCACCTTTAAGTGAGTTTCCGTCACCGGCTCACTCGTCACGAGGGTCCAATCCTCAGACTCCGCCCCCTCGCTGATCTCCACTACATACCCGCTGACCTCTGATTGGCCCTTGTACAGAGGCCCCGCCCACAGCAGCACCAGAGAGTTTTGCCTCACTTCTCTAAATTCCAGATCATATGGACAACCTACAACATATGAATCAACACATTCATACAATAATCCATCATCGCCTTCTGTTCATTCATGCCGCCTTTTAAAGATGCTTGCAAGACTTATTTTACCTTCATTTAATGAAGACATTACACACTTCTTTCATTCATTTCTCTAATATACACACCTTTATATATGAGCTGTGTTTATCCTCTTGAACATAGAAACTATAAAATAAAAGAATCCAGCCCACAACAATGCATATAAATGATAACCAAAGGAAAAATGTAGCGTGCTGTGCTGTAAGTGAAATAACCCTCAATTGCAAAAAAAAAGTGAACCAGCACAAATGGAAGAAAAACTACTTTCATTGATTTTTGAGTTCTGCATCACTGTGCCACACTATAAAGATTAAGACATTAATGATGAAGAACAGAAACACATTAAAGATGAATGAAATAAGAACAGCATGTTAGTCTGTGCCAGATACGGGTTAGTTCAGAAAAGACATGATTGAAACAAATCGAATTTATTGTTTCCTATAATTAAAAAAGTGTACAAGTGTACAAAAACATAGTGCATATTAATGTCATTTGGTAATATAACCTTCTTCTTTGCAAGTTTATTTAGATGCAATAAGAATTGATTTCCAAACTATTCTTTCTTTCTCAAAATTGCTAAAAGAACTGTACAGGAACATATATGAAAGAAGAAACAAGTAAAATCCCTTATGATTCCTGTCCCTGATCATGCAGGATCTTACCAGGCTCAGGCATCGTCCAGCGCTCACACAGAAACAGCTCGCTGGGTTCAGAAGCGTCACCCAGACCAACAATATTGGCTGCGAAGACTCGGAACTGGTAAAAACGTCCTTCCTGAAGGCCTGTCACCTAAAAACAAAACCGACAAATAATGGGAAATAAATGGATGTGTGAGAAAGGACGGAAGAGAAACCTAAAATAAAATAAAATAAAAGCATCTGTAAAAAGAGAACGTATATGTGTTTTCACATTCTCAGTGTTCATTTAAATCAAATGAGGAGTGGATCACACTCCTAATGGAAGCTGAAAGCATCCTCAAAATAACTCAAATATTTAATGAACTAAAAAACACGAGACCGAGAATAACTTTGTGGATGACTGACGCTCCAATCCTGTGTGAAATCTGTCCAGTCTTTCGATTCAGATGCATTTTTAACCCAGAAGCAGTGTAGTTTGACATTTATTTAGTATTTAGTTTTTATTTTACATATTTTTATATAATATTTTGAATTATTTTTCATTTTCATTTTAGTTAAAATTTCATTCGTTTTTGTCAGTATAGTTTTTTTTTTTAAATAGCTACTTTATTTGAGCACTTTTTAAATGTTTTCTTTAGTTTCGATTTACATTTATTTTATTCGAGTAACAAAAATAATGACTTATAATGAAATATGTGAAGTGCTGTGAATCAAATGCAGATTAAAACCCAGAAACGGTCAATTTGACTATTTTAGTATATATTAATATTAGAACAACTTAATATTTTTAAAATTATTTGTATATTTTGCATTTTTTATTGCAATTCAATTCAAGTTTTAGTAATTTGTTTTGTCATTCTTATTAACTGTTGCTTTAAAAACGGTTAATATAGTTTTTATTCATTTTTATTTCAGTTTTAGTTATTTTAGTACTTCAATTTTTTATTGTTAATTTTCTGTCCTGCGATTCAGATTCATTTTTAACCCAGAAACAGTATAATTTTACTATTTTAGAATTTATTTATATTTTGAATTTTGAAAATTAGCATTTTCATTTTAGTTGAAGCTTTAGTAATTTTGTTGTGTTTTTGTCACTTACTAGCTTTTTTTTTTAAATGTAGTTTTTTAATACATTTTTATTTCAGTTTTAGTTAGCTATTTTAATACTTCAATTTGTATTTTTTTTCTTAATTTCAGTTCACATTTATTTTATGCGAGTAACAAAAATTAATTTTGTTGTAATGGTTTAGTTTTAGTTTGAATTTCAATTTATTATGAACATTTTTTTTTTTTTTGTATAAAGTGAATTTAATTTTATTATCATTTAGTTAACACTTAATAATAACCCTGCCCAGAAAAGCCTTTATCTTCAGTGCATTGATCAGCCGGTCGACGTCTATATCGAGGACCATTAGCTACATATCCGATAAGCATTGCTTTAAGACTGTTTCTGTGATGAGAAGTAAAGATCACCACGAGTGGCCACCCAGTCACAAGTAATTGGGATTGGATTTAGGAAAACAGGCCTTCTTAAGACTTGTGATTAACTGTTGCTTGAATCCTCTTATCAAATCAGAGGCTTATCTGGGAGCTCAAATCTCTGGAGCGTCCAGACCAGGCCCCCGTGGCCTGCTGGGACAGAGAACTGCCACTAGATGGCAGACATCAGGAATAGCAGAGGGCTTTTAATGTAGGGTGGGGTGTGTTTGTGCTGCTCTGTAATGATGCTGGGCAGGTGGCAGTGCCTCTGATGCTCAATGAGAGGCGGAAATCATTAACATGGGCTTCATGCTACGACCACAGTGCCCTCGAAGATCAATGTTTTCTAACTGACGTAATGTACTTTGAGGCATCCTGTGAGCAAATAGTGCATAATAACAACCCCTTCCTCCTCTCCAAACCCCCCCCCCCCCCGTTTTTCAGAGGGAATTTTAATAAAAAAAAACAGGGGG